TATATATATATATTACATTATTAATGTATAAACCATTTCTCTATTTTTTTTTATATATTTTAAAAGTTAATAAACTTAGCTTATAGATAATTATGAAATTATTTACTTCTTTTTTTTTTACTTTATCTATTCACTAATAATTCACCGGTGCTTAACAATTTCAATAATTATAATCATTCATTCACTTTATCTTTTAATTATTTTATCGTTTTTTTTTCTCTATTTTTTTTCTTTCATATCATCTATTATATTTGTGGCTTTCTGTGACTTTGTCTCATTTATTCATCATTGAGGTGGATGTTAATCAATGTTCTAACACTTTCCACCTCCCATAATTGTTTCAAATATTATTTTTCGCATCTTATTTTTCCTCTAAGAGAATCTCTAATTAATTATTGTAAAAATGCAACTTTTGTGAAGTTCTTAATGTCATGTAGAGTTTTAAAACTTTTTATATATTCTTTCTAATAAAAGAACCTTATTTGAGTTTTTAATACTTTTTGTAGGCTCCATATTTTTATAGTTATTTTGTTAAAAATTAAAATATTTTTTTATTAATCGGAACTTATTCATGAGGATTCTTGTGTAAAAATAATTCTAATACCATGTCATTTAGGTCAAAATATTTCGATACTAAAATTTATAATATCCAATTCTTATATATAATAACTCCATTAATATTCCCAATTAAAAATATCCTATACTTCTTTCATTTCTCTTTGGTATAAAACAAAACAAAACAATTAAAGAAAAGGGAGAGGGAAAATGGATGGATACCCCACCTCCACTTTCATTTTCACCTATTGGCTAAAGAAATAAAAGAAAATTTTAAGATAAATGTTTCATCTTTTGAGTAATAGATTATATATTCAACAAAATAATATTTAACTTCCTTCCTGATTGCCCACTCATCCACAAAAAGACAATTGCTATGATGCCCATTTTGTATGGTAGTAATTGGACGAACATATTGAGTTTATTTTTACATCAAGTACTTTAATGCCGCATATTTATCTTTCATAAATACAGAACATATAATAATTTAATATATTAAAATTTAAAATAAATAAATAAATAAATAAATAAATAAATAAATATATATATATATATATATATATATATCTAGTTCTTCCTTTTAACAAAAGTAATTAAATATTATTTTTTCAAAGAAAGATATCACGAATTATCGATTCTCCTTTTCTTGTCAATTCAATCATGTTTTTGAAAGTATCACCTTAAAAAAAAAGGAAGAAAATACCACTTTGTCACTTTCGTTCGTATTTTCCATCTTGAACCCATGCTCACACAAGTCTGCTATTGCTAATTTATAACGAAAATATTTTATAACAAAATGCATGAGATATTTTATAAACGCAATCATGCAAAATATTATATAATATATGTAATAGTTTAGACATAAGAAAGATACAATAATTTGCATAAATAAAAAATTATATAGTTGATGAGAAATTAAATAAATTAATTTGTATTATCTAATTATATTAACAAGATGTATCTATTTTTTAATAAATCATTTTTAAATAGTCAAAATGCTTCATAAGAATTTAATATCTAATGTTGTTTTGTCCTAAACTTTGGTAATATTTCACTTCTTTCATTAAGTATGTAACAAATAAAAATAATAAAAAAAAAGATGAAATCTACACGATTAAAGGGCAAAATAGAGCAAAACTAAAGCTTGAAGGCATGTATTATCATGCTTGACTAATGCACGATCGTGCTTCAAATGAAGTATTCCATGTATAACCTTGCTTAGCACAATCGTGCTTACCAATAAGCATGACCGTGCTTCCTTCAGAAAGAATGAAACACACCCTTCCACTCTTGAAGCACATATATGTTTCCTCTACATGTTGTGAAGCTTGACTACGCTTATTAATATGCACGATTGTGCTTAGCTAACCAAGCACACCCTAAATGTCAAAAGCATGCTTGTGCTCCCTTTGTTTTGCTCTGAAGAATGCCATAAGCATAGTCATGCTTCCCATGTGCATGAATGTGCTTAAAAGTTTGTCCGTGATGTTTTGACTATAAATAAGGATGTTCAAACACATTGTTTTTATCTTGCTTTTAACTAGTTTTCTCATGTTCTTAGCTTTAGTTTTCTTTTATCCTTTATTTGTTATTAAGGTTTTGTAAAAGGTTAAGACCAAACCCTCAAAGAAGGATTTTTTCAATTATGGCTAATTCTTTTCTTTTTAACGAGTTCTAGCAACATGTCTAACTAGTTCTCTCATTCTAAGGTTGTGATGTAATTGTTTCTTGTGAATCCTCAATGATGATTCATGAATTATTCTTGTTAATTGTAGTATTATTTTAATGTTTTTCATTCATATATTAGATAATTGAAAGTTGCATGATCAAACTCTTTTAATTAACAAAACCTTAAAATAATTGAATTATTTGAAAATTGACATAGTCAAATTATTTTCTTAATTTTCAATTGAGTTAATTTATTAATTTGCTTATGTTTGCATATGTTTTATTTTTCGAATAAAACTCTTATAATTAATTTAGGTTTTTCTTAAGATGAAGATTGTTAGCTTTCTGAAATCATAAGGTTGTTAACAATTTCATAAATAAAATTGACAACATTGTTTTATAATTTATCAACTTTATCTTTAGGGAATCAGAAATAATAAGTCCCAACTCTAAGATTTAATCTTTAAATTTTTAATAACAATTTTCTAGACCTTGTTTTCACTTTACAAATCAATATTCTCTCAATTAATTTTTTTAATCTTCAAATGGTTAAAAACAAGATTAAGTTGGTAATTGCTAAACCTAGTTCTTTGGATCCGATATCCGAACTTAATTTGTCCATTATTACTAGTATGGTAAAATACCTTTGTCTTGAGCACATTTTAGATGCAAGACTCATCACATAAGAACTCCACAGTTAAGTGTGTTTGGCTTATAACAATTTAGAGATGAGTGATCTTTTAAAAGTTTCCCATAAAGTATATGAGTGCAAACAAAATATGTCGAAAACCTTAGATTGGTTTGTGGGAACAATCGTTGATCTTAGAGGTGACCAAATACCTTAGAAAGGTCTACCTACGAAAGGTTCTAACTAGTGAAGGGTTTTGACGAGTGAGAAGTTGTGTGAAGTGTTACCATATAAAGTGTTGTGGAGTGGAGTCACCGAGACGTCAAATTTGAGGAGTGTTACAAATGGTACGTAGTAGAGTTTGATTCTCTCTCCTAGTACAATGTAATTTGAGGATGAAACATATGGAAGTTAGTGGGCTTGTAATAGCCCAAATGCACCTGAATGTAAGAGGGATCCAAAGATTTGTACCAGTAAGAGATTGTAGAGTTGAGGATGACTTAAAGGAGTTAATTTGTATTACCTATACTAATAAGATGCATTTACTTTTTGGTAGCTCATCACATAAGAATTTCACAGTTAAACACACTTGGCTTAAAGTGATTTAGAGATAAGTGATCTTCTAAAAAATTTCTCGAAAAGTAGGATAAAACACACTGAAAAGTTGTGTTTGTTTGTAATCGGTTGATCCTAGAGGTGGTCAGGCGTCTAAGAAAAGACTACCTACGATGGGTTCTATCCCGTGAAAGATTTTAATTAGCGAGAAATTGTATAAAATATGACCGTGTAAAACTACTAAAATATCAAATCTAAGATATGTTACAATATATAAAAAGCAACAAATAACATGCACATGCCACATTGCATGATTTTAGATAATTTAAATTTAATATCAAGATCTTCAACTTCAAATTCAATATTTGTCATTTTCTTTGAAAGGAATAATTAAAACTCCAGCACAATAACATTACTTCCAATTTTGTATATAATTAAGAAAAAAAAAGTAGATGATTAAGACTAATAAAAATATTTAAATTAAATAATTTTAATTAATAATATAAGAAATTTAAATATTAATTATTTCAAAAATATTCTTACAACTAGATGATTTAAATAATAATATTGGATGAATGATTCATAATTCAAGAAATATTTTTTAATTAATAATTTTGCTTGAGTTATCCTCTAACTATTTCCTAGAATTGTATATTTAGTACACATCGAATTCAAAATCATTAGTTAAATCGAAAATTATGCATAAATTAATCCATTTGTTAGGTTTTATTACCGACACATGTAAAAATAAGAAGTTGCTACTGTAACCTCAAAAATTAAAGAATTTTTATATTATTTATGTTTAACTTCTTGTTTCTTATGTTTGACAATAAAAAGATAATTATTAGTTTAAAATTGTTGGATTTGTTGAAAATGTGATTTTTCGGTCAAGTGTGTTACTATTGTATGCGATTTTCGTAAACAATGTTATGTGTGGTATTCTGATCAATCAAAGGGCATTTTATGCGATTTTTCGATCAAAGGGATCGGACTAGGATGTTGTAAATGGTTTGTCAATCAAAGGATTTTGTACATTGTTTTCTAGTTAAGGTTAAAACCTTACAATTATCCTGCTTCTATTTGATTTTTGTGTTGAACAAGTTAAACACTGTTTTATTATGTAATTTTACTAAGTGACATCCAACTTCTTACCATCATCGTCAAAGCGCATCATCAATGCATTAAAATTAATGACATGACTATATTCAAATCCTTCAAATACTAATGGATACTATAGAAATTCTTTTAAAAATAACTCTATTTCTTTAATTAGAATAAAATAAAATACACTTAATTTTTTTTTCTTACTTTTACATTTAAAATGCTGTTAAAGTGTTGACTTGGCAAGAACATGCTTATAACTCAAGAGACAATTCAAAACAACTAAAGTATGAGAGAGGGATAATAAGGTTTCAGTGAGACAAGAAAAAAGTAAAGGGAGAGAGTGATGGCAAGAGGATGGTCCTTTTACAGGGATTTTCTACCAGTTGTGGTTCTAATAGGCAATGAATGCAATGACATGGGTTTACTCACACTCTTCAAAGCAGCCACACTGCAAGGGATGAACAACCATGTCTTTGTGGCCTATGCCTACGCTGTTGCTACCACCATACTCCTTCCAGTCACTTTTTTCTCCAGAAGGTTACCAAATATTGTTTATTGCATATCATAAACAAACTTGTATCTATCTCAGCACTAACAATGGTTATGTTTTTGTTTTTCATGTCTCTTTGCAGAACAAGAGTGGTTCCTCCACTTAGTTTCTCCATAATATCCAAGATAGTCCTTCTTGGGGTCATAGGGTAAGGGGACTTAATTAATTACTTCACTTGACTCTTAAAATCACACTTGTCAAGGCCTTTTAGTATAAGTTTTCTCAGTGTTACTGTTGTTAATTGTGGTCAAATCCAAGATTCTCATCAATTATATAACTACTTTGTGTGTGTGTGTGTGATTTTTTGTATTTTGATGGTCATGTGTTGCAGAAGTTCATCTCAGATACTTGGTTATGCTGGAATTAGCTATAGTTCTCCAACACTCGCTTCATCAATTGGCAATTTGGTGCCTGCTTTCACTTTCATACTTGCTGTAATTTGCAGGTTGGTTAGTTGAATTTTGCAATTTCTTATTTACCTGAGGATATTTTTATATTGCAACGTAAATACCTATAAATTATTTCAAAGGCTACGTCATATGTTTTCTTTTCTTGCACGCAATGTAATATCTTAATAAAAGCAAGCACACTTGTTAGTGTGTGATAAGAGGAATGGTGAATTTAGAACCCCACCACTTTATTCTACATTTTCAGATTGACGCCTATGAATCAACGCTTCAATTTCCTGGGCGGTACAGAAAGTTAATTGACAAAGAAATAAGATGCTAATTAATTAGTACTCATCACCAATATTAGTGTATAATTTAAAATATTATTTAATTCTTGAAATTATTTTAAATTTAAATTAAAAATAATTATTTTATTAATTAAATTTTAAAGCTTAATTAGTATTGATTTCAATGGGATATAATAACTTAATTATTGTAGTTTTAATTAAGTTTAATTATTAAATTAAATATTTTAAAATTAAATATTTTTAATATTTTTAATTAAATTATAGTCATAACAGTTAATATCTCTTTTATGAATAGTGAAACTTAGTAGAGTCAAGGATATTACTTTCTTCTTCATTCTTTTATGGACTAACCACTTTTGTATCCTTAGTAGTAGAAATCTAGGAGACTTATGTAGGAGTTCGTAGATTGGGAATCTAGCTAAAGGACTTGGATGAAAGTTTGTGGATAAATCTTTTAAGTGACTTATGTGAGAGTATGTAGATATTGGGAATCTAGTTAAGAGATTTGTATGGAAGTTTGTGGATAAGTCTTTTAGGATTATGTATTTTACATTTGAAGAATTTCAATTAATTTGTATATTCAACACATGAACAACTTATAGAGACTTGGGCACGAGTTACTTAGACCACAAGCAATTTTTGATTTAACAAACGAGGGAATGTTGATTAGATGACAATTGTGGCAATGCCTTAGAGGTTTTGAAGAAGTTGGCGTTGTTTGCTAAGACGTTATTGCAGTCGGACACGAACAATGGCAAAGGGTTGTCCTTGCTGTGGTACTATGCCGAGATGTTTTCAGAGCTAGACTATTCAGTAGAACCCAAAATTTATGTGTTAAAGTGTTAATAGGATTCAATAACTTACTATACTCACTATATTATGTGTTAAGTTTTGTTAATTTATGTTTGGTTCAATAGCTTGCTATATCAGATATGATGCATTACATCCTAAGAACTCAAAATATCTTTCTAAACCTTTTGAAATATGTGGAAATTGTTGTATATTTTGAGATATTTCAAAAGGTTAATTAATTCGTAAAATTATTTTAAATTTAAATTTAAATTTAAAATAATTGTTTTATTAATTACAAGTTTTATAACTTAATTAATATCAATTTTAATGAGATATAATAATTAATTTTAATTATCAAAATTTTAAAAATAATTATTTTTAATTTTTGTGATTAATTATAATCACAACCTTCAATATCATCTTTTATAAATAGTGAGAATACATTAAAATTTTCTCCGTTTTGAATCAATTTATTTTATAAAATTTTGATTATATAAAATGGATTGGTTTAGTTTATATAAAATTTTTCAAAAGTCCTATCCATGTCATGCCCTACCATGAAGGTTTTAGTAAACGAAACTATGACAGCGATCAATGGTAAGAATTAAGCGCAATGTGATCTTTAAAGAAAATGGTTTAAAACTATTGGTTAGTGCTTGACATTAACCACTATGAATATATGAGTGTATTGCCCCCTTATTTTGTTTTCTCTTGTCCTCTTATCACTGCAATTAAGGATGGAAAAGTTAGCTGCCAAAAGTAGAAGTAGCCAAGCTAAGGTAATGGGAAGCATAATATCAATAGCAGGAGCATTTGTGTTGACATTGTACAAAGGCATACCAATCATAAACGCTCACACACATCTTTCCTTACTACTTCAACGTCCAATTATCTTTCTTAGATCAGAGGATGCAAGTTGGGCCATTGCTGCCATTCTGCTCATAGGTGACTACTTTCTAACTTCAGTATGGTACATTTTACAGGTAGGTTTGAGGTTGTCTAAAGTGAGGGGTTTGGTTTACAAGTTAAAGTGGATAATTGATGATGCTTGATATGATCATAAATTAAATAAAAATCTGTTTATTTTAGAAGTAAGTAGACTTATTTCGTTCAATAATTAATGTTTTATATTAAATTTTAATAATTTAACCGTTGAATTTAAAGTTTTTAATATATAGATTAAGTTTACAAATTTTTAAAAAAATTAAAAATAATTTGATACTTCGTTTCATTAATTCAAATCAATGCATAAAATATTTTTATAATTATCTGTCAATTTGAATTAATAAAACGAAGTATCAAATAATTTTTAATTTTTTTAAAAAATTTAATTTATGCATTAAGAACTTTAAATTCAATTATTAGATTGTTAAAATTTTATATAAAACATAAATTATTAAATAGAATAAATCTAAGTAAATTTACTAAACGGATCTCTCCTCACACACATATATACATGTAATATACATATATTTATACATATAAAATGTAAATAAATATATATATATATATATATATAATTGTAATTTTACTAATCCAAATTAAGAACATGTTTATTGGAGAGTTCAAAAAACAAAATAAAAAATAAAATCATTTTATCATAAATCACTTCCAATTTTCTAATATCAATTTCTTGCCTCTCTTGAGGTCACACGTAAAGAGGACAATTTTCATCTTTTGGTTCATTAAGGGACATTACTTCTATATTTCTATATCTCATATGTAGTTATATTAGTTTTTTACATAAAAAAATAAAAAATTAAAGGCTTGGATACTTAAAAGATAAGTGTATTAGTGAAATATCTAAGAGTATTAATATTGGGTGCCGGGACTTTTTTTTAGTACACAAAAAGTTTAAGTAAGTAAGTTGGATCTTGAAGATTTATCAGGTTAGAATAGACTTTAAAGCTTTTATAAAAGTATTTACAAATTATCCATTAATAAAGTTTTGACATTGATAGAAATGAAACCCACATCCTTTAAAAATATGAGTTCATATCTTACCAATTAGACCATTCTTTATTGGCAAAGGTTTAGAATGTTTAAAAATATAACCACAATATCATATGGATATATGAGAATTTGGTTTCTTGATTTTCCCATCAGCACTTTATTCTCAATAATATGCCCATTACATCAGAGGATCCAAATCCTTTTTGGAATATTATTTCTTGTTACTATATATGGAAAAGTTCAAAAAGTTAGTTCTAACGAATTTTAATTCCTTTGCAGGTGGATATCTTGAAAGTGTTTCCAGATGAACTAACTCTAGTTTTCTTTTACAATGTGACTGCCACCATATTATCTACAGCAGTAGGTTTCTTTGTAGTGCCAAATCCAAGGGCTTGGAAAGTAGGACTAGATATTTCTCTGCTATCCATTGTTTGCTCTGTAAGATATCCTGCAAACAGTTGCTGCACTTTGATCAAAATGATACACTTTTTTATGCTTAGCTAGTTTATTGATGACACATTTTTGTTTCTTCTTAGGGGATATTTGGAAAGTTAATGAGCAATGTAGTTTATGCCTGGGCACTGCATTTAAAGGGGGCAGTCTATGTAACATCCTTCAAGCCACTCCAAATTGTTATTGCTGTTGCAATGGGTGTTATGTTCCTTGATGATACTCTTTACATTGGAAGGTATAATACTACTTCTTGGAAACCACTTCTAAAAAGAAACGAAAGAAAAATGATTGAAATGTTTTTTTATAGGCTAAAATAAACTTATATAAGTTAAAGATAAGATTTTAGAGAAGTTAACAAGATAGAACTTTTACAAATTAATTTATGTAGAAGCTTATCTCTTTCCCATTTTTCTCTTCTAAAAGTATTTTGGAGAAGTTTAGCCAAAAATACCCCTTAATACCTAATAAGCTCAAAAAAATCATGCAATCAACTCATTATTATGCTGATACAATATTGGCATATGAATAAGAAACTGTACAATTTCATGATATAATTTGTTGAAAACTTGAAATGTTCATTTGTGTACATTCATTCTCTCTGCATTTTGCAGTGTAGTTGGAGCCACAATAATATCAATTGGCCTTTATACTGTACTATGGGGAAAGGCAACAGAAGAGATAGAGGAAGATGTTGGTAGCCTTGGATCACCAACTGCTGAGAATGCTCCTCTCTTGCAAAGCTACATAACTGAAACATCAGAAAAGAATGTTTAAAAACAAGCACAAAGTCTTCCACACTCTTAACATCATAGAAAACCATAAAGAACCCAATTTCTTGTCATGGAACAGCAGAGTACACATGACTATGACAATGATGAGGGTCAAAGCTTTGGTTTCATTGTCCCTCAAGATGATCCTATGTTGCTATTACCTATGTGGTTGATTTGTTTCCCTCCAAAGTAAAGTGAATGGAAGATTTTTGCATAAGACTTTGGACAGGATTACATATTTGCATTCAATGAAAGTTCTTTCTTGTCTCCTTTCACTCATGAGCAAGGGTGGTTAATTGGTTATATATATAGCCTGCTGTTACTTATGATATCCACACTGTAGTCTGTGGGTTTGCTTTAGAGTTGGACTTGTAAAGAGAATATTTTCTAAAATATCTATAGTCTAAAAATATTAGTTTTTTTTTAAAGTATTTATGTTTTAAATATTTAAATTTAAAGATATTAATATTTTATTTTAATTATTTTAGGATGTATTTTACTTATAAGAATATGATGTTATTAATATTTTAATTTTTATACTACATTTTTACTTTATAGAGCTATTAGGAATTACGATGATGAATAGATTCAAGTAAATGTATAATTAAAGAGATAAGTTTGATTCTCATGTTGTATCTTTCTTACGATAAAAAATAAAATAAAAAAATAAAAAAATTGAATTATGTATTTTTTTAATGGATGGGATCCATTAAAAATATTCTTAAGTTTACGGTAAATTTTAAAGTTAAATATTTAAGAAATTAATAATAATATCTTTTATAAAAAATAAAAATATTTTAGATATCTTGAAAAAATAAATATATTTATATATCTTTTAGAATTGTACTTTTTTAAAGTGAACTTTTAAAGATATAAAAAATCTTTTGAGTTATTGATTTTGGAAAAATTGTATATACATTAATATAGCTTTTTTTTAAATTTATTTTAACGAAGCCTTAAGCAAGAGTTTTATTCACCTGATATTTGGACCGATCACGATAATGAAAAATAAAAGAGTAAATTAAGAATAATAATGTTCAAGTTAAATTTTTAATTAGTAATTAATTAATGATGTATCGACTAATTAAAAGTGAGTATTTTTTTAATCTATCAAAATTCAAATCTTGAATTGTATATATATTATCTAATTCCTTATCACTAAATTAGCTCTAGTAGATATTGAATAACTTATTTAAAATCTTGTAGAGAAACTATATTTCTCAGTATAATACAAAGATGAAATATATTTATAAAAAAATAAAAATAATTTTATAAATAAATAAATAAATAATATGGCATAGTACCGAATTTGTTATCTGCAAATCACGTCGAATTATCAAATTTTTCAAAAGAATTTATATTCATCTTATAAATAAATTAAGAATATATATATATATATATATATAATTATAATTTAAAAGATAATTTTTTTTATACAATAATAACAATGATAAGATTCAAATATTAGATCTTATGTATATTACTTTAATTTCATCATTATATCAAGTCTAATGATCTAATATATATAAAACAAAGAAATAAAAAAAAAAACATATTTAACTAGAAATTGTAAAACACTTTGAATGTGTTTGAAAATCAATTGAGTTGAACTCAACTAGGGTTAAAAAAAGGTTATACTCACAAGTTTTTGTTTTTTTTTTGAGAAAAAATAGACATTGGAAAGAGTTTGAATAATGTTAATAAGAAACTCAACACTTTTTGAAACACTAAAATAATATAAAAAATCTTATGAATGTAGAAGAAGAGTTAAGAACAAAGAATACAAAATATTTTTATATTAATTTATCTCAATCACTTGGACTACGTCTAGTTTTTGATCAATCTCATAAAGTTTCATTATCTTTTACAAAGATACAAGTATTTTTTTACAAGTCACTTCTGACATAACTTAAGTATTTTCTGACTTGTCTCTTCAAGTAACCACTTAAATATTCTTTAAACAGTGAAATCACTCCAAACTTCAAAGTATTTTTTCACAACAAAGTCTTTCCATGCTTCAACAAACAAACATTTTTTACAATCAAGTCTCTTCAAATTCAAGTAATAAAATATAGTTAAAGCTGAAAAATCACTTGTTATTTCGTCTTATTATCAAAACGTAATGCAAGCAAATTAAGTATAAAGCTTTTTACTGAATGAATGAATGTATAATTTTTACAATGATCGTTCCATATTTCTAAATCTTCAAGCTTCTTTATATTAGTGCCTCATGAAGATTAGGACTGTCAAAACAAGCTAACTTGACTCGTTTGACCCAACCCACCTCAAACCACTTTTTAAGTGGGTTGGCTTGACCTAGTCCACCAACCTTAATGTTCAAAATTTTCTAACCTAGTCTAGCCCACTACAGGTTAGAGGACTAAACAGGTCAGTCTACCAACCTACCTAATTTTTTTTAAAAATAAATTCTAATTTAAAATAAACTCTAATCTAAAATAACCTCTAATATAAAATAAAAATTGTCAAATTAAGTATCATACATATAACATTGAACTTAATTAAAAAAATATACAATTTTAAATAATCAAAATAAAAAATAAAAAATAAAATCTTTTTTTATTAAAGTGATTGTCCATCAATATTAAACTTCATTGGAATCTTGAGTAGATAAATTTATAGTAATTTGATATTGTTTAACATCAATTTTATCTTTATCTACAAAAAAATGATAACTTATTAAAATAATACATATATAATAATATATGGTTCAGTGGATTATTGGTGTGTTGGGTTGATGGAGGTGTAAGTGGGAAGCCCGACCCACCATGGGTTCAACTTGGGTGGATCGGGTTGGATTTTTTAACCTATTATAAAAAATTTCATTTTTTTTTGCTTGACTCGACCCATTTTCAAGGTGGGTTAGGTTGGTCCACAAGCCAAAACTCATTTTTACAACTCTATGATTATTACAAATCCTTGAACATCTCTCACAAACTTGCTTTATTTCTCTTCGTCTTCCTTTAATGGGGGAAGAGGTGTTCGTTGGTGCATTAATTGTGAACATAAATGCATTTTTACCAAATAATTACTTCTTATCTGATTAAATAAACTACTTATCACATTTATGATACTAAACACAAGAAATTGTAGCATGTGTTAGTAAAAATGAATTTTTTTTTCAAGATTTCAATGTTTTGAGGGATTTTTTTTCCCTTTCTCTAATGCAAAATATGTTTTCATTCCTTTTTGAAATGCAAGTATTGAATTTTTTTTTATTCTTTTTGATCTATTAAATAATATCATAGACAAATGTAATCTGGTTATTAAATATCATACATGATATACATTAAATGTATTCATCTTACAGACGAATAAATTTATCTAAAAGATTATACGTTACTATAACCAATTGTCTACATTGGTTTGTCTTATAGTATGATCTGGAAAACGTTTAAGTTGGTTATTTTTTAGAGATTTAAGATCATCTTTTAATCTAACATATTTATTTATTTATCAAAACATTTTTTTTCGTTAAGATTTTAAATCAAAATTTTCTCACGAGTGCTAACTCATTTCAAGATACCACTCTCGATGTTGGTTCTTGGGTTTGGTCCCTTCCTTTGCCAAAAAAATATCAAATTCTTTCTGTGGCTTGCTGCTCACAACTCTCTCCATACTAACGCTCTCCATCAAAGCAAACGTTTTTGTTGATTCTTATAACATGTGTGATATCCATGTCTTTAGCAATTGTTTTAAAGCTCAACCTATCTGCTTCACACTTTAGTTTCATTTCTTCAATGACTCACGAGATGAAGATGGAGCTGACTCCAACTTCATGCGTGTCACCTTAGTTGTGAGACTCTCTCTGCCAAATAATAATATAAAAATTCTATGTACCCTTTTTATTTAAAGGATTTTGGAACTGTTTTTATTTTTATTTTTTTTTAAAATATTTGAATATTTAATTTAGAATTGTTTATATTTTTAACATGCTTATATTTTTTATTTCAATATATATTTGCTTAAAATTCTTAATATATATACAAAATATTTGAAAATTAGTAATTTTTGATATATTATGAGTCATAATAAATTAAATTTTTTAATACTTGTGTACAAATTATAAGGAACAAATTAAATAAAAAAATTTATAAAATTTCTCTTAATTTTAACAAATAAAATTTTATTATAGTTTTTTTAAAAGTTATTTTAATTCCTATAAAACGATTTAAAACACTTAAACTAATATTTTAAAAAAATTAATTATTTAAATCATTTATTTGTTAAAAACACATCGTAGAAAAAAAAAATGAAAGTAATAAAAAAATTCATTTTTATTAACTTAAAAAATTGACTATATAAAACATTCTAATTTACGAGATTCTATAATAACTCTCATATTATATTTGATTAAAAAAAAATAAAAACCGCTTAATCGTAGACGTACGTTAGCAATGACATGTCAGATAAACATGAACCATAATAATTTAGTAATTGCACCGAAGATTCTGTCAACATTACATTATTATCTATTTTTAAAATAGTTTTTGCCCACCACTTCTTCCTTTTCTCCATTGTTTGGTGAGGAGAAAGAAAAATAATAAAGAAAATGGATAGAATATTGGCAAACATATGGGTCCCTCTGCATGTCTTCTTCTTACTAAAAACATAGCTATGGTGCCCAAAATAGCAAGCAATCATGTAGCAAATTGGCAAATTTCTTTGTTTTCAAAATAATACTATTTCTACTTTTGTATCCATACATTTCTTTTTATATATCACTTCCATTATTTTATCCAACATTTTGGTCTCTTCCTTCCCTATATTTCTCTCTGTTGTATAAATTAAGAGAATGTAAGGTGGGGACAACATTATTATTTATTACTCTTTGTAAAATATCTATTGAATAATAGAAATAGGTCCAAGATAATTGAGAATGATACATAAAAAACAAAAGTAAATTGGTTATTTAAACACTATTTGGATGTCTTCCTTTAAACCAATTACTTCATTCTATCCGGAGAAGTAATATAATACAAGTGCACTACTGTCTTTCTTATGAATAGTGAATTTACCACGTACATCAAACTAATTGAATGCAACTTTAGAAAATTATGTGTGCAATTCACTTTAACACTAAAAAAAAAATAAATCAAAATATAGTAATACTGAGCAAGAAATTTAGGAAATTGACTTAGGTTATTCCCTAAATAATTAAAGAGGGAAAAATTTGGATTTCATTAGTTGTTCAAATTAAATAACAAGTTAACACGTGTATTTGACATGGCAATTGGAGAGTAAATATTTTTTTTTTAATTTATAAGTTAGTTTAATAAAAAAAAAATCAAACTAAGCTTATTAAGAGTTTATAAGTTTTTAACTTTTTTTTTTCTCTTTATTAATTTATTTGAATTTTCTCATTTTTTTCACTCTTTTTAATTTAGAAACTTTTTTCTCTACTCTATCATTCACTCACTCTCATTATCAAACAAATAAATAAACATCTCATTTTACATTAATCAACTAACTTATAAGTTAACTTTACTAATTTAATTAACTTTTTCTAAAAAAATTTAGTTCCTAACTTATAACTTATAAATCATTTAATTAGCTTATAAATTAATTTAAAAAAAAACATTATATGGAAGTTTAAGATCAATTGACATATGAACCTACTTAATCTTATTCAACTTTGTAAATTCCTTAACGTAATTCTATTTAAACAACTTCTTTTCAAGAAGAAATAATCACTATCTTTTTTATTATATATTGCTTTACTATCTTTTTTTATTATATATTGCTTTCCTAAATTTTGAGAGACCTTATTACTTATTTTAATTTTTTTTAATGTATAAAAAGTCTTATTCAAGTATTGTGAATAAAAATACATGATTGAAATCACTAGAGTTAGCTTAGTGATTGGGTGGGAAGAGGTTGGGGTAGTTAAAAACATGAAGACCTAGGTTAAATTCTCATTGCGATCATCTTTATAATCTTTTTTATCTTAAAAAAAAAAACACATGATTGACATAAAAAAAAAAAAAATTCAAGTGTTCGATTAAAATTTTAGACAGAAATTAAGTTAATTGATAGTTCCCGAATGTGATACAAGTTGAACAAGAGACAATGGTTCCATCCTTGAAAACATTCATAAATTATTCAAAATAAATCACACATCCATTCATCTATTAAGCAAATAATATTTTATTAAAAAGTTTCTTTGTCGTTTATTTCAGTGTCCAATCATTTTCTACAATTCAAACATGCTTTTCAAGAGAATCCTATCCAACACTAACTTCAAATGGAATTGTGAAAACGTATTCTTTAACTAAAATAAAATTTAAAATGGTTTCCAAGTATTAACTAACCCCCACAAAGCATGGGCCTCTCATGTTGAGTTGATATTTGCCACTCAAATTCCATTAATGAGTCTCCCCCCAACAACTTCAATATCTCAGTCTTAGCATCAAATACTGATTCAAGAATGAATATGAAATAGTGTAAGGAAACATTATCTTATTTGTCCATTTGTGCAACATTGGCTCAAGTGGTCACTTTCTACTTTCTGTATCATTGGTTGTGCCGTGTACGGTGGTCTTTGATATTGTGAGCCATTTCCTCAATCCAAATTGATATTCTTAGAAAGTGGCACAGAAAGGCAAAAAATATAAATTTAATTGAAATATACTGAAAATTCAACTCCGAAAGTGTGGATGGCATAGAAATGGGTTAAATATAGCAGATAAAGTAATGTTGGATTTTAGTTTATTTAAAAATAAATATGTTTGGTTCTTCATTTATAGAAATATGATATGTATTTTTTTTGTTCATTCACAAAAATGTCTAATTTTAACCTCTTGTTTACAAAAATAAGGACCACATCTAATATATTTTCATATATGAAGAATTGAAAGGCGACAATTTAGGGCTTCTTTGTTACATTTTTTTCGTAAAAAAATATTTTGTTTCAAAAATAAAACAAAATTTAAATTCTGGTGAAAATTAAAAACTATTTCAATAACTTCTTATTGTAAGATCAATGGCTTCTTTTATTATATATATATACAGGGAAGAGAGACCCCACGTTAATGTATTCTTTAAAAAGTAAAAAAAGAAAATAAAATGAGTGATTGCTTAAACAGTGTGTCAGTCATCTTTATGAAAGTAAGATGAGTAAGAACATATTTACTTGGATTTGCGTTTGAAAAATTGATTTACTAAAATAAATTTCATGAATGCAGAAGTCATTTTTTTCAGCTTTAGCCAAAATCAATTTTTACCCTTAAAATTATGTGATGAAAAAAAACCCAAACATTTATTTAACAGGAAGAATTACGTTTTTGCACAAAAATACGCGCGTCTAGATCTCCAATCGCGTATCCAAACACGTTATTAGACACAAATTAAAAATATTTTTAAGAGTTTTTTTTTACTAAAAATAAAAAATATTTTATAATAAAAAATTCTCAAAAATAATTATGAACTTATATTTAAATAAATTCAAATTTTAGATTGTATAATAATACTTAATAGTTAAAATTTAATGTTACATGATCGTTTAAAAAAATTATGTGATTTTTTTTAATCTAACATGATTTGATTATTTTATTCTTAATTATAATCATAAATGGTCAATATTTATTGCTCTTACTCTTTTGTAAAAAAAATTATATGATTTTTCTTTATTCTAACTTGAGTCGATAATCTAATGATGAACATTTATTACTCTTAGTCTTTTGTATAAAATAAAAAATCTCACCTAATATGCTCCCTAAACTTGATATTAAATATATATAAACTTGCACATGTAATCACTAGTAGGTGTGTGTGTCTCAAAGAGTGAAGGCAAATAGGGGGAAGGTCTGAGTCTGAAATCTGAATGATGGATAGAAGATACTTTCACAAAGATTTGCTACCTTTGGTGGTTCTTGTTGCCAATGAATGCAACAACACAGGCTTGTTCACTCTCTTCAAAGCAGCCACACTTCAAGGGATGAGTAACTATGTCTTTGTCACCTATGCCTATTCTGTTGCCTTCCTTGTTCTCCTTCCTGTCACTTTTTTCTACAGAAGGTTGCCAATTCTTTGCATCAAATCTTAAACAAACACACAAATATGTTTCCAACAAGTTACACTTTGATTAATGATTGTCTCTCATGTCTCTTTGCAGATCAAGAGTGGTTCCTCCACTCAGTTTTTCCATCCTATCCAAAATTGCTCTTCTTGGAGTCATAGGGTAAGTAAAGGCCCCACAATTGCTAAGGTTTTAAGGCCTTTTAGAATTTGTTTTCTCTTACCCACTTTGTTGTTTTGGATTTTGATGGGCATGAATTACAGGTGTTCATCTCAGATTCTGGGCTATGCTGGCATCAGTTATAGTTCTCCCACACTTTCCTCTGCAATCAGCAACCTCACTCCTGCTTTCACATTCATGCTTGCTATTATTTGCAGGTTCCCTTCCCTAAAACTATCTTCAATTATATTTCACAAGTTTTTGTTTTTCTTTTTTTAGGTTTAGTTTTCATTTTTCTCTACCTTTTGAGGACAACATATGCATCATAAATATGTAAATAACAGTTTAACTTTTATATACTGTCATTGTAAATATATAAGATCAACCAATAAAAGTCATGTTTGATATGAATTTTTTAGTAGTTATTATGAAAATCAATAAATTTACCGTACATGATTGTATGATCTAAATAATATTTCAATCTTACTTCATATCTTCAAAGAAAAGGCGAAAAACAAAACATTGATATTATAAGGGCAGAAGTACAACTCCTGGCGGATCTGTTCCATTATTGGGAATGAGAACCCCACAGCTTTTCCACATTGACTTTACCCTTTTGGTAATTCATATTATAATTTAAATAAGAGTTTTGCTGACCAGTATCCTTAGAGCATTAGTTAAAGAATCGATACACAGAGAGTTTTTATTAATAATTACTATAAAATTATACAAAAGAACGTATAAATACACTTTTCAATAAAAACCTTTTACTTTTAATTCTTTAATCAGTGCCTAAAAAGGACTTAACACTGGTTAGCATTTTTCTTTAGTTATCGAGTAAAGTAGTTTTACTAGAGGGTGGAGCCATGTTTTTTTTTATAGTGAAACTGACACTAAATTCATCCAGTAATAGTGTACTGTAGAGGGAATTGATTTCGGTAGAAAGTGCTAAAGGGAGAAAGTAACGATGCATTTAATCTTAAATTAAAATACTCAAAGATTTAACTCAATTTAAATCAAGGACGGATGCACCTTCATTTTCCTTACTTTTAGAGGAAACAAAGCCATGGACCATGTATTAAGAATATATGTTGCTAGCATATTTCTCTTTCAAAAGAATTATTTCCACAACATTCTGATTACCATTTTCATACCAATGTACTAATTTTATAAGCCTATAATCAAGAATTCTCGAGACCAAAACACATTATTATAACAGTTTCTAACACGCACATTATTATTTTGTTTTTCTTGTCCTATTACCACCACAATTTAAGGATGGAAAAGATAGCTGTAAGACGTAGAACTACCCAGGCTAAGATTTTGGGCAGCATTATATCAATAGCAGGTGCATTTATTGTGACATTTTACAAAGGCCAATCGATCATCATAGCTGATAATTCCCCTTCCATTCAACTTCCACACTCAAATGGCATTCTTACTTCAGTGGATAGAAATTGGGTCATTGGTGGCATTCTGCTTACAGCTTGCAATGTTCTACTTACTGTATGGTTCGTTTTTCAGGTATATATTTGTTGTTGCTGTGTATGGAAACGAGTAAATCACCAATTTGATCCTTAAAGCGTTACCTTTTTCTTGTAAGTGGCCCTTAAGGTAAAAGAAATTATATAAATAGTCCCAAAAGTATTTGAAATCATGTTAAGTAGTTTCTTAAATATTATAAAAAACCCTTCAAATTAGTCTTTGAACTTTACTAAAATACATAAACTTTATTGGTGTGCAAGTCTGAACAGTGTCATACATAGGATAGAGTTGGATATGTTGAGAATATATAAGTGAGAAATGCCCATAAATCTAATGTCTTAAGGTTTTAGGTTAAAATGTGGTGTCCAATTCACTTGTGTGATTTGCGCATGGTTCATTGATGGAGTTTTGTCGGTGTTTAACTTCCCTCATGTGTTCCTAACAAACTTAAAGACTAAACTGATGCATGTTCAATACTTCAGGGATTTCTAAAATAGTTTTATTACTTTAGGGACTATTTAGGGAAGAGGGTAATAATTGAAGACCAAATTGGTGGTTTATTCAATGGAAATAGTCATTAAGGCAGTAGTACTCAAATAATTTAAAATTCTGATATTCATTTTACAGGTTGAAATCTTGAAGGAGTTCCCGGATGAACTAACTATGGTCTTCTTTTACAACTTGTGTGCAGCCATTGTAGCTTCAATTGTAGGTTTATTAGGAGAGAAAAATTCAAGTGCGTGGAAAATAAGACTAGATATATCACTGATCTCTATTGTTTGCACTGTAAGAGACCCTGAAAAATTTTGCTGCTTTTTCATCTAAAATATACACTTTTATACAATTTGTTGATGATGATGCATTTTGTAATTAGGGAATATTTAACAAGTTCCTGAGTAGTGCAATTTATGCCTGGGGAATACACTTAAAGGGGCCTGTGTATGTAGCAATGTTCAAACCACTCTCAATTGTTATTGCGGTTGCCATGGGTGTTATGTTCCTTGGTGATACTCTACATGTTGGAAGGTTAGTATTTCAACTTTTATATTTGATTCCTCTTAAAAACACAGGCAAATGCAGATAAATAAAGCAATTGTTATTTCCCCTATCTCAGACTCATACCTATTGAGCATGATTATCCAGAGTTAAACCAATAAAAAATGAATTGAAAAGAAAAAATAGACAGTCAGGCTGGTGGTAAATTGGTTACTCATTAGAGATGTGAAGAATGTTCCCTTAAACAAATTAATTCATTATCATATAACTTACTGTGGTTCTTACTCATCCAGACACTTATGAAGAGCTAGTCCCCCTATTTCCCTAACCGAAAATTTATAACTACCAATGAAGCTATGCAATAAGTCCTCTTTTATAGAACAGCTACATCAATAGAAACAGAACATATAAAAAGAGCTAATATGAGCCATATGAGCTTTTTTGTTTATTCATCCTCCACCTTGAGCTAGTCACTCTTTGTAATTTGGTTACTTCTTTGTTATTTTCCACTTCTGCACTAATCAAAATGACATTTTATTTAGTACTTCATGTCATTCAAAGTTAAAACCATTTGAATGTTCCAATCAGTCACGCAATCACTATGAAATTCTACTGCTTCGGATACATTTTTGACATAGAAGAGAAACTATGCAATTTCAGTGAGTGTTGGTCTTATCATTTGGATAACATTCTTCCTGCATTCTGCAGTATAATTGGTGCCACAGTAATATCAATTGGATTTTACACTGTGATGTGGGGCAAAGCAACTGAACTGAAGGAAGAGGAGATCGAGGAAGATGTTGGTAGCCTGGAATCGCCAACTTCTGAGAATGTTCCTCTATTGCAAAACAATAAAACCGTAAATTCTGCAAAGAATATGGATGGAAGTGTATAGAAGACAGAATTGCCAACTACAAAGAAATGAGAATGTTCTTGTAAAGGTATAAAACTGTAAATTCTAAATAGAAGATAGGTGGAAGTGTATAGAAGACAAATGTTAACTATTTTCACCTCTTCAATGTTGACATTATAGAAATCATAGAGACCACTTTTTGTCATAGAACAGCAGTGTTATGAGGGTAACACTTTGGTTTCATTGTTCCCTAAGTACCTTAGTTCAAGGATGTCAAACTCTTGAGTCAACTAATAAACTCTTTTGAGTTTACAATCCTAAGTAGAGAAAACAAGTTAACTCTACGGTAAACTCTTATAAATCCTAAGAAGCAAGTTAGCTAGTTTGAAATCAAATGTAACTTTTGTTCCTATTGATTGCATAGTGTGTAGTATTTTACTATGACTCAAATGATTTGAAAAAATCAACTCCTTTTATAAATAATTTCACTTTAGGAACTATAATTTAGTACTAATGTATTATAACACTTTATTATTGTAGTTTAGTACTTTTGACTTTTTATAGAGTTGAAATATTGAATTATTGTTGTATTAAGTGTATTATGATATGCATACCCGTATCAATTGGATTTTTTAATGTTATTTTTATAATAACTAAACTCTTACGACTTTACGAATTTAGTCTATGAATCGAGTATACAAAAGTTTCACGAGTTTACATAGAATCTCAAATTTGACAACCTTGTCCTAGTTGTTACCCTTTGCAGGACACTGTATGAAAGATTTTCAGAAGTGTTTTCCTGATTTATGACAATTAATTGGAAGGCATTCGGTAGGATTTATTTCTTGTATCCATTCATTAAGAAGCACCGTTGGTGATACATAGCCAGCTATTAAAAGTAAACAAAACAAAGTAACTCGTGCCTTGATAATTCTTCCTCCTCCTCTTAGCCTCAATTTCTACATCTCTCTCAATACAACCAGTGTGGATCCTATGCAACTGCAATCTGCTACAGAAGAAATTTATATTTCACTATCTACCATGTTTTAAAGTCATCCTACATTGCTGAACTTATTAAACGTGTTGTGGAGTGGAAATATATTATGTTGCTGTCGTGGTAGTACTGGATGTGTATGAAGAAAAAGGTATTCAAAATTTCAAATTTAGTACTTATGTAAACTACATAAAAGAGTTGCAGAACAGGAAAATAATCAGTAAATCACAGTAGTTGTTCATCTATTTCATTTGGTTTTCCCGATTATCTCCTGAACTTCCTGAATTACAAATAGCCCGTGTGTGCAGTTGTAAAATCTGATTTATGTATTTAAGCTACATCGGTAAATTTAATCTTTAATCTTATTAAGATTAAAATATTAATTGTATTGTTAACTCTAAATACATATTTAAATTCTAAATCTTTAATATTCCTTCCGTTTAAATTAGTCTGGAGATTTCATATATCTAATGGCATAAGTGGTGTTGTTGTTAAAAGTTAATAAAGAAAAAGGAAATGGTGATGACTTGATGGAAGGGTCACTGATACAAATACAACGGTAAGGAAACTGTATCATAAACGGGTGGTTGTGGATTCTGTTTTCACTTTTTAATTATAAAACTGTTACCTTGTTTTCAAAGTTTTATATGGGTAACGAGCCCATGGGAGCATCATGCACCTTTATATTTCATATACAATAGTTAGTATTTCTAAAGCGAAGTCCCAAGAACAAGTATCATAAGTTCATTAGTATTTCTTTTCAAAACATTGGATTCACAGAAACATTCTTATAGGATCCTAATCAAGAAAACATGTGAATTCAAACCCATATTTACTAGTGCCCAAATGAAGTAGAGGGCACATTAATCATTAAAAAAAGGCTGTGATTAGGACAGAAACAGAAGAAAGATAATGAGTTTTATCATTTCAAGAATGAAGGTGAATGAACCTTGCAATAGGGATAAAAGTAAGGGTACAAAAGATTTGATGAGGGATCACAAGAGTCTTGGAAATTTGTGAAAGGTTGGTAATATGGTGGAACTAATAGGTGGATAATAATCATATAACATGTAAGAAAAGATATTTATGGATAGTTGCTTCATGTGATATGCCGATAACAAAACCATCAAAGGGACACACTAAATATGTATAACTTCACCCATTTTAGTTGGTTGAATTATGACCTACTCTTACTTCTCATCTACAATTCTTTCTTTTGGTGTCTTTATGAAGCTAAATCAGCACAAAAGGAGTCATACCTAGGAAGCTGTGTTGACTAGGAGGCTTAAGGGTCTGTTTGGTTCAAATGAAGAAAGGAAAGGACATATATTTTAATCAAGAGGGAAAAGGAAATGAGGGGAGAAAATCCTTTTTTTTTTTTGGTTCACAAGAGATAGGAGGAGATAAAGGATATTAAAAATCAAGATGAAGAAGAAAAAAAAATGTATGGCTCACTTGGGAGATGATTGAGTGTGGAGAAAAAGATACTTGAGACAATAGAGGAGGTAAAAATGTATGGCTCACATGGAATATGATTGGGTGAAGGAAAAATGATACTTGAAAAAATATAAGAAGTGATTGGATAAAAAGAAAGAAACTATTCAGAGACCGATATAAATAACTTTAAGGAGAGTTTAATAACAAATAAAAGACACTCATTTTCATTGTTTTAGTTGAAAAGTAAGGGTGGCAAAATGGGCCAGCCCGGCCCATTTTGGCCCGGCTCGCCAATGGTCCGTCAAAAACGGGTCGGGCCGGGCCGCCCATAGAAAACGGGGGACGGGCTGGCGGGTTGGCAGGCCATCCCGCATACAAAAATAAAAATAAAAAAAAAATGGAAAAAATATATATATATTTTATGTTCAAATAAAAAAAACTGCTACAAATAAATAATTATAACCATATGAAATTAAAAATGCATACATATTATACATAATATATGTTCAACAAAAACAAATTACAAATTTATAAAAAAATCAAAAAGAAATTAGTCTACTTACACCAAAATCAAAACAAAATTATAAACTTACAAATTACTAAGAAACTAAATTTTTGATAGTCCACAAAACAAGTCTAAACAAAATTAATCAACTTTAACTTTCTATTTCAAGAACATTAGAAGCTCCCTTGGAAGATAAATAAATTAAACATAAAAAAATTTAAATATAAAAAAATTAAAGTATGCGGTCTGGCGGGTTGTGACGGGCCAACCCGCTATTTGGCCCGGCGGGTTGGCGGGTTGAAATATTGGGCCCAACCCGCCAATTTTTGGCGAGCCAACGGGCTGGCCCGAAAGTCAGAGCCCGTTTTGCCATTCTATTGAAAAGTATTAACCTTTATATAAAAAAATATAGAAATTGTAAAATTAGAAAAACATGTCCCATAAGCAAAATTGTTGACATGGAAGAACATATAATCTCTAGAAATTTGAGATAACAACATCATAGCCCGTGATCTAGTCTTTATATTATAAATAGATAGATTTACTTTTATATCTTTATAATTTTAAATTTAATAATATAAATAAGAATATTTTGAATATTATATTAAAAATATTTTAAAATCTCTCTCTTCTCCTCCAAATTCCATAATATAGGGGAGCTAAAAGTTGAATTAGGAGGAATTTTGCTCCTTTCCCCTCCATTTACCTCCAACCAAACACTATTTAAAAGTCTTATGTGCAATTGATACTCATGTACAGTTGCTCAAAGACTAATATTCATGTGTGATTGTCCAAAGGTTATTACTCATGTGCGGTTGTCCAAAGGTTAATACTCATGTACAATTATAAAATATTTTATACACATGATACATGTCAACATACAAAGCTCTATACATAATTTCATCTTATATACTTATTATGCACTCATGTTATTCACATAATACATTATCTTCATGTCAATATCATGCATACACGTCATCATCATGTCAATTTCATGCATACACAACATCATCACATCAATCTCATACATACACATAATCATCATGTCAATCTCATGCATACACATTATCATCATGTCAATTTTATGTATACACATCACCATTATGTCAATCTCATGCATACACATCATCATCATGTCAATATACATACCCAACATATCATATTCAATTATTAATATTAACTAGTACAAGAGTTACATGTTCACAGTTCAAACATAATAATTACACAACATCATTCGATATACTAAGAGATAGAATAATTATGAAACCATCTAATCATATATGAATACCTCAACCATAATTACTAAGATACCAATATCAAACTAACCATTTAAATTAATAACTTAACTAGTCTCACAACATATTGATATCACACATTAATTCATGAGATATCGCTATCACAAAGGCACTTTAAGTCGTTAAAAACCAACTCATATTATAACTCATTCATAATTGTTCTTTATCATGATTTATCTTTCTTAAACATTGATATATGTACCTTAAACCATTCATAAGACCAAATATTTAAAGGGTAAAGTTATTCATCATCACCATTTACAAACTACATTTCCGTAACTAAATCTTATATGACCTCGTGTGATCCAAACACGATATTTTGAGCTATATACATGCTATCAATTTTATTTTAGTTTTGTTAGAAAGCTAAGACAATTATATACAACTTCTATGTTGACCTAAAGAGTTAATTCTTCCATCTACTACTTTTCAAAATTACAAACTCGTAGTGTTCAGTCTAAATTTGATAGTTTGACCTTCACTCACTCATTTGATCATAACATGAGCTCTATACCTCCTTTTTGAGTGATTCTGAAGACATTTGATAGCTAAAATCTAAGACTACAACTTTCATGCGAATCACAAAAGCAAATTTGGCCATCTACTCACTTAAGCAAGACAATCATTTACTTAAGAGAGGTCAGCTTGCTTGGAGCAAGTGTTGAGCAAGGTGAGCTTGGTTAGAGCGAGATAAAATTTTCTCGAAGTGAGCACTACCCAAAACTCTTTATTAGATTCACTTGAGCAGGCCTAAGATTTCTTAAAGTAAGATAAATTTACTTAGAGCAAAACTATGTGTTAGATCAAAAAATCTTATCTTTAGAAAACAGACGATCCCTTTAAGTTATAATGTTGACAAACAAAAGGATTTTCTTTAATGAAAAAGTCGACATTCTTCGAAAATATGACAGATCATACAAAATGTGAAGATAATACATATCATCTATAACATGAAAGAAATCAGACGAAGTATACAATCTATCTAACTTACACTAAATGAATAAGACTAACATTGCATTTGCTTTAATGTGTTATTCTTTCACAGATTAAACAAAAAGGAACTTTGAAAGTATCGAAGAGCATTAATGAAGAAAAAGACAAAATCTCCATGAGAAGCCAAAAGCACAATCTCGGATATCATAGAAAAGAGATTGAAAAGGACTATTGTGCACCAGCCCCAACTACTCTACGCTAACACTCTCTATTCAAAAGTATAAGG